GGTTGGGGGCCCATGCAAAGTTTAAAGACTCAACTCTTTGGGTTTATGGCGTGGAGTTTTGCGTTTCGGGTTAGGAGCGTAAACATGTATGCACCGCCCGCGAAAAACTGAAAGGCGCGTCTCATGGACACCCTGCAGAGATGCCTTGAGTATGCATGCTTGGAGGGGTTTAGGGCTTAGGGCTTTTAGGGTTTAGGGTTTAGGGTTGAAGAAATTCCAACTCAAGCCAGTTAGGACATGACACAGGAAGGAAGCTTTTGCTACATACAAACCTTCTTCAAGTAGCCGCACCTCGGGAAACTGAGCTCTGTGCTATTTTGATGACCAGAGCCGCCAGACTCATTGCCTCATCTGCGCATATCAAGCGGGTTTAGGGTTTGGGGTTTAGGGGTTTTGCTACATCAAACTACATGACTGTTGATATGGTAGTTTCCCAAAATAGGGAACCCCAATATTGACTCCAAAATACTAAAGTCCTATCACGGCGAACCCCTGATTTTGGGCAACCTCCGTATAGAAAAACCTGCATGACCTTAGCATCCTGTAGCACCATAGTTCTCATGGTACGAGATACTTATGCTGCATGTTTAGTATCCATCGTGGGCAGGCGCTATGAACAATGGTATACAGGCGCAGGCAAGCTCTGCTAGCTGTACCATGGGTTTAGGGGTTTAGGGATCAGGGATCCAGGGGTTAAGCGTTTAGGGTTTTAGGGGTGTGGGGGTTACAGGGTTAAGGGTTTATAGGGGTTTAGGACAGGATTGTGTGCGACCACTGCATCCTGGCTCGTACATCTTGCACCTGAGGTAGAAACATGATGTCCTTTGCAGGGTGCCGGACCTTGAAAGGAGGCTCCAGCGTCAAAAGTTCGTAGAAGACCACGCCAAGCGACCAAATGTCAGCCTCCCGATGTGCAATTTTATCATTTGGCTAGGATTGACTTGGGAATTTCCACAAACTGCTCAGCAAACAAATTTTCTTGCCCCGGAACGTATAAGCATGGTTTGAATTTCATCTTCCATTGGATTCTCCGGTATGGTAATGTTGCAACGATGACCCTCCTTTATCTGGGCGGTGAGTTGCCTCCCCCCAGTTCAGCCCACTAATTATTGCATTATTAGAAATCCCTAGACCCTACACCCCAAGCCCTGAAGCCCTGAATCCTATTTGAGCCATAGTCTAAACTCCTAGTATGCTTTATAATAAGCCCTGTGATAATCCCCTGTTTAACCCCCTTTAAGGAGTTTAGATTGAGGCTCATTTAAACATCCGGAAGGCCGGGTTAGACATGTCACTGGCACATTTGAGGAAGGTCAGTCAGGCCTTCGTGCCATAGGGTTTGCTGTCACATACCTGGATTCACAAACAGCTGGTTTGGACGGGAAAGGGAAAGTACGATACTGTAGGGTTGGGTCTTGTTTTTGGGCAAAGCCTCTAACACTCCCCCACATCCCCCTCTCAACCACCGCCTGACATGCAACGCAGGAAAAGGAGCCCCCAATTAAGCCCCAATTGCCCCCTGTTCGGGAATCGGGGTCAGGATATCACTGTCTTCATCGGACTTCGCGCAAGTTGGATCATGCTCTTGGCGTGGCAATCTTGGAAATGAAAATGCAATGGATCTTGGATCTGATGCTCGTGCCCCACTTCGCACCATTTAGAGTTGCCTTGTCCTCCTGGTCAAGTTGCTCCAGGGCTTTAGCTTCACATCCGTGGCAGGATCCGCGTCTAGAAGCCCTTGCAGCTGGGTTATGCTTATCCACTTGCCTACTGAGGAGACTGCCTATTAGACACGGAGCACGCCGATCAAACTGAGTGGCAGGCTTCCGGGGGAAGGTTGCTCGGTGTGCCGATCAATGTCTGTGCTAGGCCCCTGCGGGCAGGCGCGCGATTGGGTTTGGGAAAATGCGGCCCCGTTGTAGGAACCCTAGGCATCAGGAGTGTGATCCTGAGGCTGTCGACGTATAGTACGCGCGATGACTTTCAGAAATACCTATTTCTGGAAGTGGCTTGGGAAAGTACCACGGAACTCAAGCTTCGGAACACTGCCGGTTCTAAGTTGAGCCGTTACAGCGTCCACTGATGAGGGTGATACCCGCCTGCCTGGTATGTTGCAGCACTTTCGCAATGCCGAAATCTCCGATCCTTACACTGACAGATGTATGGGCGGCATGACGCGCAACCCTAAGGCCCAAGCCCCTGAGCCGCAAACTCTTACAGGTTTAGCGTTTATAGGGTTTAGCCTAAAGTCTAGAACACCAAAAGCTCTAAACCCTACACCCAGGCTAGAACCCCTACAATCCATGCCCTACACAGCAACGACGGAATAAGAAGCCTTGACTTTGTTTCCAAAAGTCCTTCGTTTGTAAAGCCTCAGAAGTAGATCCGATTCGTCCGATCCAATTCCAACTAGATTCTCGAGGGTTCAGGGCTCAGGATTGGACATCAGCGCAGCTTCTCAAAGGTGGTTTCTGTTGCTTTGATGCGGGGAGCAGTATGAGCAGTCAGAGGGTGATGATAAACTGTATACAACTATATTATAAATTTCTCCAGCTGCTACAGAGTGGGTGCAGTACCCTAGGCATCCAACAAACGGATCGCAATGCGAAGAAAACCCTGCCATGAAGTGCAGAACATGCAGCACTCTAGCATGACATATCGAAAGACTTGGAACAGCTACACGCGGCCAAGGTTCTTTACAATACAACCGCCAGCTCCTGCGTTGGATAGAAAAATGTTCTGACCTCAGCACTGCGGTGAGTCTGGCGCACACAGAGATTCTGACTGTATCCGACTTGACAGGTGCTGAAGGGTCTGGGGAGTCTACTGGTGTGTCACTATCACCATTACTATAGGTTTCTGTCACCGCTCAGACGATGGCCGTCACAATGTGCTTATACAGGCTGTGTCAACACTTGCGAACGACAGCTGTGATAGTTTCTGGGCTTTGGATGTGCAGAGGCAACAATATTTGAGAAACACGTCCGCGAATGCAGTTAGGATTCTGAGGCTGTATGGGCCTTTGAGGGTGAAACGCAACCAGAACCGCGGCAATCACAATCGCTATCCAGTCTGGAAACTTTATGAATTTGAGGTTGTTTCCATACATTCACGCTTCAGCCCTTGAGATGTGCCTTGATAACGCTGATCCCAAAAATTGTGCAACCCTGGAGCTTGGAGTTCCACAAGACATTTTCCAATGCTCATTCTCACTTCCTGTAGAAATTAAAAAGTCTGGGGCCGGTACTCTTCAGATCCCTGTGCACAATTCGCCTCGCATGTATGTGACGCCTGGGCGTAGGAAAGGAAAGGCTGTCTCTCCCGGTAAAGCTCGAACGCCCTTTCGCTGGTGCCAGACTGTGGGCGTATCCGCTCTTGATAACTGGGCTACTACTGCGTGAGTCAAGAGGACCCCACACACCATTGCTGCCAATGATTCAGGCCTCTGTGTTCGGAAGCTGTCGACTTTTGCATGAATTTCAATGTGTTGGTCGGTTGGGAAGATGGAGGAGGTCTAGAAGCAGTACAGCAAGCAGCAGCAGCGGCTGCGGCAGCAGCAGCCGTGCGGGTTGAGCAGTAGGTGCGAGAGGACAATGGCTTGAATCTAACATCAACAGCGGCACTGGTGCGCTTTTCAATCGAGTGCCCAAGCGACAGTGGCCGAATGCAGAGGGGAAGACTATTGCAACGAACAGCAGCCTCCCTTACCATGGCTAGAACACGACTGCTTTACTTCATGATGGCGATTTCATGAGGCCATTACAAGCATCACTAGTGTGACCGGCGAGACCACTAGCCACTAACTTCTAGGATTCGTCTCTGCTTCTTTCACGATCAACCTTGACCTCAAAACCTTTTCTTCGACCCCTCAACTCTGCAACTCTGCATGACACAAGATCATGCGCAGCTCATTATCCTGCAACTCTGCCGGAGTGGATCCTAGTTATCTGTACAGGCACATATTGCTTAAAGCATCCTTTCTTACCTGAATGACGATCCACTCTTGCAGCAACCTCCAAGCAAGGCTGGGGAAACACTTTGAAAAGTCTGGGAATCACTGAGACCAGACGTTGTTTCGGCATGAGGGGTCCCTGTACGAGCACGAGCTCTATCCTTATTTCTGCTCGGACTCCTCCGTCTTGAATAGCAGGAGGATTCATACATGAATTCTACAGGTGATTTTGCTACTGTTATAACTCGGTCGCATGTTCCGATAAGGCGGCAAAGCTGCCCACTTAAACCGAGTTTTCTACAAAAGCGTTGGCCCACAAGAATCCTTCTCTAGCGCTACCCCCTTCTAAATAAGCGTGAAACCTCAATAACACATCTGTAATTAATCTCCACAGTAGTGTTCAAGAAGATAACATACCGAACTCCTCAACTTCACTAGGAACATCGCTGTAAAGCCCCTTAGTCCAGTATTCTACATGGACAGTTCTATAAGTTGGGTTCCCATGAAATGATCAGAACGACAAAGTCGACAATGTCCCTTTTCCAGGGGGGCACCAGTCAAGGATGCCAGAATTGTAAGTAGGCCTCGATATGGGTAGTTCCCAAAATTACGATGGGAAGCACCCCTAAATATTAGGTGATGTAGTATAATCCATGACCAGAAGGGGCCCACAATTTGGAGAATGACCCCTATGAGCTACAGTCAGTAGTACACAGCTACCTGTTATTCATGGACATAGGTTCTTTGTTAAGGAATATATATAGGACTATACTAGACTACAAGAGGGACTCCTATGTCCACCCTTCATGGCCCCTTCGTAAGCCAAATATTGACAATATCTCATATGGGTACTTTCATAAAATTAGGGGGCCTTTGCTGGGGGATCACTGGGGTAATGATTGTAGGGTGTAGGTCCCTCCCTTGAAAACACCCAATATGGGTGGTGGCCTCGCCTTCAGTTCCTACAGCTGAACGCAAATATTGGGGCACGTGCTGTCCTATTTTCGCGAAGACCCCTCATTTGTGGAGGCGGATCTCTCAGCCATTCTCAGCCGTCACACATTGCGAAGTCTGAGGTCGTTCGTCTCCCTCGGACACGATTTGCTGAAATATGTATCGTCGAGCTGTATTTTGGGGAGGCATGGGGCATCTCAGCTAGCATTGGGCAATGTTGACAGCATGAAAGAGCAGGCGTCCCCTTCATAAGTGTGAAGACTCATAAGCATGCAGGTCAATGATTTGGGGTGATCATTACCTCACATGTGTCCAACAGCTCACCGCCAATCCATCTTGTTGAAGAACCCTAGACCCTAGACACAAACAATCTAGTTCAGGGTTCTAAAGTGCAGAGTTTACTAGTAATCCCTGATTGTGAAGCACTCCTCATCATCAACTGAGATCAAGGCGAAACCACTCCAACACGTCCTTGGTGCTCGTAGCAGGACAGTATAGCCGGTGACAAAACCTAAACCCTAAACCCTAAACCGCGCGCCCATAACTGTCGCGCAGGTTGTAAGCTGAAGGCACAGGTTCCAATACCCAGGTTTGGGATGCAGGGCCCTGACCTGGACCTCAACCGTATGTGAGCCATAAGCGGGTTCTATAGGGCTTAGGGTTTAGGGTCCAAACTCCTTAAAGGGGGTTATGTAGTGGACTATTTAGGGGAGTATGATAGGGGTTACTAAGGGGGATACTAGGAGTTTAGACACTGGCCCATGTTAAGTAATAGTCCACGAGCCAAGCAAAAGTCAACACCGCCATTGCTTTGCATACATTGCAGCGGTGCAGGTTTATATTGCTGGTACTTTGGCTCGTATTTTTACCATGTCTATAAGTATTGCAATTGCTATTACTATTACTTTTACTACTACTGTTACTACTTCTAATACTGCTATTGTTGATTGCTGTTACTATTACTATGCCTATATTACTTCTTACTTTCACTGTTGCTATCATACTTTGGGGTCCAGGCATAACCGAGACATGATCGAGGTAGGGATTCCATCTTACAAGGCTGGTCAACCATCTTCAGGGGAAGCTTCAAGCAAAGATGCACGACATCATCCTGGCGCAGCAAGTGTAACAAACTTTCAAACATGTTCTTCCAGGATCTCTGCAGCAAGCGAAGATGTGTGGCCGCCCAGTGCTCTGCCATGATTATACGTCTTCATGCTCCAAATGCCAGACTTGTTGAACAACAACCGCTCATGTCTCCGATTGAGGATCCGACGAAGAATGGGCCCTGAATATCCAAAGCAAAGCACAAGAGAATTATGATTGCGAGAGGCCTGTACTCCTAAACCTTCCACTTTCCCCTCTGACGTTCCAATCCTACATAACCCTATGAGGAGCAGGAATGAAACTGAAAAAGGAATCAAACAACTGAAATGTTTATACCGTAGTTGTCCAGTGTCGTTTGGTCAACGCCAAGTTGTATCTACTTCAAGACGAACACACTTTACCTACGGGACAGGTTAGTCCGGCATCAATGTCTCACTGAGCACTAAACCCTTCATAAGCCCTCCCAAATCACAAATTTTACAAATCCTAAACCCTCTAAATCGTAGACACCATAAGTTCCACAACCCATGAACCCTAACCGCTCTAAATCCTAAACCCATCAAACCCTAACCCTTGGAACCTTAACCCTAAACCCTAAATCCCAACCATAAAAATCCTAAACCCTTTGAAGCCATAACCCTTAAACCCTAAATCCTAAACCCATTGACATCCTAAACCCATTAAACCCTAAACCTTGGAAACCTCAACCCTGGAGCCCTAAACCTGACCCTGTGCCGCCGGAACTCGCCGCTCCTCTCTGCATCCTCAGTAGTGGAACAATGAGTTCTCAGGTTTTAGGGTTAAGAGGTTTAGGGTTTAGGGCCTAGGGGTTTAGGGTTTAGGCTTTTAACATTGAGGTCTTTGGGCTTAGGGTTTAAGGTTTTAGGGTTTAGGGTGTAGGGTTTTAGAGGTTTAGGGAATAGGTTTTAAGGGTTTAGGTTTTAAGGGTGTAGGGGTTTAGGGGTTAGGGCTTTCGGGTCTAGGAGTTTAGGGGTTTTGGGGTTTGGCGTTTAGGGTGTTGGGGTTTAGGGTTTGGTGGTTTTGGGTTTTAGGGTTTAGGGTGTAGTGTTTAGGGGTTTAGGGCTTCGGATTCCACGGTTCAGTGGTTTGGGCTTAAGGCTTAGGATCTACTGTAGGAGCCTGCATTGCGGGGGCCTACATAATTAACCCCAAATGGACAATCAGATGGAAAAAGACAATGGAAAATGGAATAGAAACTGGGGATTGCATAAGAGTTCATGGGGGTTATGGAATGTATGCCCTAAATACTTACCTTTATCATCTTGAGGTCTATTTGAAGTACCCTATACCAGAGTCATCCAAGGAACCTGTGGCCCAAATTGGTAAGTATTTAGGCCCCTACGGTAAGGTTTTGCTATCTACCTGGAGTGCCTAGTTGCCAAAACAACGGGCGATTCTAACCCAAAGTAAGAGAACAACATGGCAATTATGATTGTAGGCTGCTAGCTTTCTAGCTAGGTTTTTGGCGGTTTAGAGAGTAGGATTAACGGGGGGCTTTGGGGGGAGTATCGGGAAGGCACATACATATTCCGCTCAAATCGCTGCCCGACGACGACGCGTATACATGCGGATCATCCTAATGTTAAGTTCGCCTAAAAAGGCACAGATTCATTTTTTGGGATTCCTCATGGTGAGTCGGCGTTTGGGGCCCCACTCACCTGACTGAAATTTTTCTGTTCGGTGCCCCAACTAGGCGTAAGCATATGGCGAACACAGCATGCGTCTCAAAATTAGGACCCCGTTGCGTCAAAAAATGTTGAAATCACAGTATACCCCCAGCCTAAGCCGTAATCCTTCCTCCCGGGCAAAGAAAGATCCAAGCACGGAGAATGGGATCAACACCTCCCTAAGCCCTAAATCCTAAACCCTAAACCCTTGCTGGGACACCTGGAGTAGCAGGCCCAACCGCCTCCTCCAAGGAGTCGGAATGGACTTAATAGATGTGGGAGACTAGCTGATGGGATGAGTCTGGATTTTGATATCA